TTACCCGTATTGTCTTTTAGAGATTTTCATTAGGATAAGATTCACATAACCATTTTAAAATGAATAATTCACTGGCATTGAGGACATTCGTGATATTGTGCAGCCACCACCTCTATCTAGAGCCAAGACATTTCCATCACCCCAAAAGGAGACCCCAGGCCCGTTAAGCCGTCACTCCCCACGCCCCTGGCAACCACCTACAGTGGGACCTTGACTTACGAGTGTCCCAACTAACGAGTGTTTTGAGATACCAGCTGTCTCTCGGCTGATTTTTTGCATTGAGTTGATAGAGTAATTTGAGTTAACGAGCTCCTTAATGAGCTCAGTCTCGGAATGAACTAAACTCGTAAGTCAAGGCCCCACTGTATCTGCTTTCTTGTGGCGAGCCGGCACGGCCATGGCATACTCAGCCCCTGGGTGCCTCATGTGCTGAGCCAGCTCAGCCTGGTTCAGTGACCCTGAGAGGGGGCGGTGAAGGATTAAGAAAAGACAGACAAGAGAAGAAAGCTGTGTCTGGGTAGGACACTGATCCGGGATGGAGAGACAGTGCCATGGACTATGAGCCGTGTCTTTATTTTATAGACAGATCCACGAGGCAAAGTAAGGGCGTGCTCAAGATGTTTACAACATTCTCGTGGGTTTCGATCCTACTCAACTACATGTACCTGAACTCTATCAAGCCCACATCACTCAGGCACGTGGGGCCACGTGTTCGGACCATAGGTTCAAGCTTACAACTAGAGCTGTTGGCTATAATTGTGCTGGGAGGGCCCTGCCCTCCAAGCTGGGACTTGCACGTGGCCATGAGAGGACTGTGCCCTCTCATCAGTCCAAGGCTTGAACCTGTCCAAACACTGTAGCCGCTCTCCACACTTTCCATCTCTCTGCATTTGTCTGTCTGAGACACTTCATATAAAGGGAATCATGTAGTGCATGGAATTGTGTCTGGCTTATTCTTATTGTTTTGTACCTTGTGTTTGTCATTGAACATAGATGGTGCGTGTGTTAATATGGTAGATCTGTGTCCCCTTTTCAAAGGCTTCTATGGTGTTCCGAGGTCCAGATGTGCCATTATCTATTTATCCAGCCTCCTTTGCTGGACATCCGGGAATCAGACTTAGACTAGCAGAATTGGGCTTCCTACCAACGCAGCCAGAACTGACATTTCCCGAATCTACTTGCCTAATAGCAGCAGAATGGCTTTGCACAACTACAGAGGCCTCCAAGGCTATCTCCCCAGGGAGGGGAAAGTGGCCACCAGGCCATTGACCTAATGAGAGTCATTCATATCCGAGGAAGGCAGGCAGTACTGGAAGCGCCCACTGGAAATGTGTGTCCAGCAGCTGCTTGATAATAGACCTGCTGTCCAGCCCCTTAGCGGGAATGGAAATAACAGATCAAGATCCCAGGTTCCTCTGGGGTTTTCATGAAGGATGTTGTCAGCCATTTGTCCGGAGGGGTTTGACCTGCCATTATTTTATTCAGACTCAGTGGCAGTGGAGGGGTGGGCGGGCTGGGGCTGCAGAGAGTGTAGGTGCCTGGGACACAGGTGGGAACAAAACCAAGTCCTGTATAAGGGGAGCAAAACAAGAAACTGAGGAGTCTGTCAAACACAGTGCTCCCATGGTGACCAGGGGTTTGGAGCTGCTTAAAGGCCAGGGCCAGACGGGTATCTTGGGTGAGAGGCCCGGCCCAGGCAAAGGCCCAGCTGTGGACTGGGCTTATCGTGTGCCAGGGGCCTCACGGAGGCCAGGGCACTGGACAGGAATGAGCAAGGGCAGAGTGGTGGGAGGGAGGACAGAGACATGGAAGGGTTGGGGGCAGCTCAGGTCTGATCTTTAGGCCAAGGACTTTGGCCTTTAGCCCTTCGACACCCACCCTCCCCTGTGGGCTGGGAAGCCATTGAAAGGTGATCTATTTATTTCTTTGATAAAAAGTCCATTCTTTCTCAGAACTCCAGGAGACATCCTTTGTTTAGGACCGTCTTTGAGTATCACCTTGCAGAACATGAAATATTTTCCCAAGCATCTCATCCTTTAATCTGGGCCCCTTGGGGAAATCAGTCCTTTATCGCCCACCGCCATCTGTCGTCTCCAAGGCACCATCTAAATAACTCGGGGAGATTTGACTTCTAAGGCGCTTATCTCTTTTGTTCTCTCCAAATTCTGTGAAACGTTTGAACTTTCCTCTGAGAGCAGTGGCACATCTAAAATTGATCTCTCCACACCCCTTCTGTTGAGGGTGCCATTAGGGGAGTACTTGCCTGGGAGGCATAGAAGGTGGGTGAAAAATATTTCTTATTTCCAGTTTCCGTTAAATTTCATAAATGGGGCTTGATATAAAAACAGGCTACGTGGAAAAACCAACCGGCTCCTCCAGACCAGGCATGGGCATTCCCATCACCCTCGGAAGGAGGCCGGGGCCGTTGTCACATTCGATTAGGATTTAAAAGGCGGGACCCCGACATGAGTCCAATGTCGTTAATTCTGAAGAAAATGACTTAAGAGCTAATGGTGTAGGATTATGCCCGCTGCTTGCAGCTTGGAAATTATTCACAATGGCACTGGGAATTCGGGGGCCTGGGCTGAGCAGGGCACAGTGAAAAGGCTGAACCAGGAGACAGAAGTTCCATGCTCTCATCTTCCCTTTGTTTGGGGGAAGAACCACCAATCTCCTGAAGCCTTCCATTCCTTACCTGCACATGTTGGCTTTGTGCTCATTTTTACTTTTCACAAATTTGATAACCTATATTAGGAAGAAAAGATGAATTCTCTGGGTGAAGCTGGGGTGGGGACCAGAGACCCACCCTGTCCAGGCTCTTTGGAGAGCGGGGGTGGCGGTGAGGGGTCCTGGGAGGAAGTTTGAAAAACACAAGACCTTGTAATTACACCCATTCCAAAATGTGCCTGCTGGGGACCTATTCTCGGTGGCCTGACGCCCTCTACAGGACATTAGGAGTAGCGCATGGACTTTGCCGCCACCGCAATAGTTGTGTGGGAAGGATGTTTAGGTATCCTTGACCTGTCTTTTTAGTTGAGATCAGATGGCATATGCCATTTTGTATCTTGCCTTCTTTATTTTACTAACATATCATAAGTGTTTTTCCTGTCATTAAACATTCTTCGTAGGTACTTCTAAATGTTTGTTTTCTTTAAATTGAAAAATATAACGTGCATGACAAAACTCTTTTGCACTAGCTATATACATAATAAAATAGTGAGCAATGAGGAGAAATCTCTCTTGGCTTCAGAACCTAATTCTTCTCTCCAAAGGCAATGCTTGCTAACAGTTTCTTGTGTATTCTTGTATATCCTTCCAAAAAAATATTCCAGGCCTATCTATGTATATAAAAAGCTAATATGCAAAGTGTCCCCTCAGGAGTTCGACCGGGAGACCGGGAGTTTGTTTGCTCTCTATGATGTGTGCTGACCACCAGGGGGCGGCACAGAACCAAGGAAGGCCTTGGCCGGCAGCTGGAAGGCCCCGGTCGACCCTGATCATGGGCCAGGCCTAGGAACCCTACCTGTGCACAAATTTCATGCAACGGGCCTCTAGTACAAATATATACATATTACATGTGTGCATATGTATATTTGAAAACATAATTAGGTGCATAGCAAACAAACTGTTCTTTACCTTAATTTCTTCATGAACCATAATGTCTTGGTGATCGTTCATAAGCAGGTTAGAGGTAGGTTTTGACGGCTACATACTACTCCAGTCTGCAGACAGGCATTATTTACTTGGACAGTACAAGGGGTGGGATTTTGAAATATGTGTGCAGGGGAACGAGTGGATTTATAAATAGGAATTTAGATGACAGGAGTAGTTTTGGATAGGCCAGGGGGCAGGGCAAGCCAGCGTGTTTCTTCTCAATGAACCTGTTCTATATCTAACTGTGTGTGCATGTGTGTGTGTGTGTGTGTGTGTGTGTGTGTGTATGTATAAGATCTGTCCTCCACACACCCCACTTTCAAATCCAGAAGCAGGACAGTGTTCCTGGTATGGATGGGGTCAGAGAGGCCCAGGGTGAATTGCCTGGTGTGACAAACTCCCCCAACCTCCCCTCTAGCATGCTTCTTTTATTAGCCACGTGCCTGCATGTCCTATATGTTAGGTACTGTGTCTCATTGACTTTTATTGAAATATAATACCAAAAGGCCCAAAGAATCGTGTGGCCTACTCCACAAATCTGCACCAAGCGAACCAGCAAGAAGCAAGGGCCAGCCTCCAGGGACCCTAGTGCTCTCCTAGTCACCAATCACGAGTGGCCACTGTCCTAACTTCTCTCACCAGACAACAGTTTTGCCTCTTTTTGAACTAAAATATAAACAGATTTGTGTTCTCTTGTGAGCTGGCTTTTTAAAAAATTAATATTATGTTTGTGAGATTTACCCAAGTTGTATGAATTTATCCATTCTATGTATGAATTGTAAATTCTTAAAGCCCCATGTGGATTATAAGGTATATATGAATATATAGAAATATATGTGTATGTACATACATATGCATGTTTTTATATATACATATAGACACACATATATACCCTGTTATATATAGACTAGAGGCCCAATGCATGAAATTCGTGCTAGGGGCTCGGCCCTCGCAGCTGCGGTGGCTTGTCTCAGACCTCACAGCCCCAGCTTCATCCAGAAGGACACGGTAAGGTCGTTCGGCTGTCCGGTCTAATTAGCATATTATGCTTTTATTGTTATAAATGTATAAAGTGTATGTGATGTATATGTGTGTATATATTAGGATCGATGCTTAACATACAAACTGCTCACATTCGTTTGTCCTTTTGGCTGCTGATGGGCTTGCCCTCATCTCAGTTGGGGGCTCTTACAAAGAGAAACATCTGTTAATCCTCAGAGCAACCCGCCCAGGCTGCTTCTGCTGTGTTTACACAAAGACTCCAGCTCAGAGAGGCCCAGCGACTTGCCCGCGGCGCACGGCTCCAAGCAGCCCTGGGCACCATTGACACTGCCCTCTCCCCGCAGGCCGAGGAAGTGGACGGCCCCTGGCAGCCCAGCGCGGACCGCTGCCCGCCGCCCCCGCGCTCGCTGCCCCCTGGAGCCTGCGAGGTGGAGCCCTGCCAAGCCGACTCCGAGTGCCCGCAGCGCCAGAGCTGCTGCTACAACGGCTGCGCCTACGCCTGCCTGGAGGCCATGCCGCCCCCTCCTGGTAGGCGCTCCAGGGCTGGGGAAATGAGGCGGCGGGTGGACTAGGGAGGAGGAGGGGGACCCAGGTGAACTGTCCTGCCCTGCCCTGCGCAGAGGTCTGGGCTGGGAGGAACGCAGGTGGGCGGGCCCATCTGTGAAACGGGAAGATTGCGGCTCAGGGAGCCAGCTCCAAGCTGCCCTCAGGGAGCTCCAGCCCAGGAAACGCGCGCTCCAGGGGAAATGACCCCTCCTGTGAGGATGGGGGAGATTTCTCATTAGGATACTGAACCACAGTCCCTGGGCCACCGCCTGCCGGAGCCTTATGTGCCCATAGGTGGCAAGGGGGCATCCAGTTCTCCACGGACCCACCAGGTCCTTTCACTCACGATGCCTGGCCCTGGGGGATTTGAGACGGAGATCTGGGACTTCAGTCGTCCAGGTGGGGTGTGCCCACAGAGGCAGGGGTGCAGACTCCCGGGATTCACGGGTTAGCTGGGGGCCTCCTTAGACCTCCCCTCTCCCCAAACACACGTAGAACGGGACTGAAATGAGAAAGTGCAGCTTATGGCACAAGCCTGATCATTGGGAAGCGCTCGGGCCCCAACAGGGCTAGGAGCAGGTCCTCCATAACATGTATAATCTTAAGGAGAATCCCTTTGGGAGAAACAGTTCTCAGAGATTCATCTTTGAAAGGAAGGAGTTTCAGATTCCTTCTGGGCAGAAGGTTTAGGACAGGATGGGAGGGAGCCTGTGGGGAACACTGAGGGGGGTGGGGGTGGACAGCTACCTCCCTCTGGATGAAGAAAAAGTGTCCCTAATTGGTTACGGAGGCAGTAAAGTCTCCACTCTCAGTTCTGCTTGGACTGCACCTGAGGGTTCCATGGGCTTTAATAACTGAAAGTGGCTCAGCGTTAGCCCCAACCTCTCCTCCCAAGGCCAAAGCAAGAGCGACCACAGTTTTGTTTTGTTTTTTCCTTTGGAGTGAAATCACAGCCCTTAAAGATGCTCATAATCACAGTCTCCAGAGCGTTTGAGCACTGCCTCCTGTTCAGAGACTGGGCAGGCACTCAGGACCAGGAGGCTCCTACAAGGCCCTTTATAAGTGAGACGACCTGGCGCCCCCTCCTGGTGGAAGAAGCACATAAGGTGCTTCCCTCCAGGTGTGCAAGTAAAAAAAGGTGCCCCTTCCCTTGGATGGCGACAGGGCACAGGGATTCCAGCCTCACTGCCGTCCAGGCCAGCTGCTTCTAGCAGTGCAAAGCCGTACAGCTGTCCCTGACATTCCTGGCGGCGTTCACATACCTCATCTCGCTTTATGCTCACACAGTCCCAGGAGGTGCAGAGACTGTTGTCAGCCCTATTTTACAGTCGAAGACATTGAAGCTCAGAGGAGCCGAGCCACCTGCAGAGGTCATACAGCGGACAGAGCTAGAGTTTCAGCCAGTCTTCTGTGGGGTGTCCACTGCCTTAGGCCCCGAGGGCAGGGCTGTGGGGCCCCTGCTTCAGTACCTGGGCCCATATACAGGGCCCCTCACTGCCTGAAACATCCCAATCCCAGACACCCACACGGCTCACTTCCTCCTCTCCTTGTCCAGAGGTGGCCACTTTCTCGGGGAGATTCCCCTCTCTATATAGCAACCTCTCCTCCAGCCATCCCTTACCCTCCTTACCCGCTTCAGTTTTCTTTATAGTCCACCCTGAATATTGTGTTTTGTTTGTGTGTTCATTGCCTGTTTCCCCCACTTGAAGATCAGCCCCACAAGGAGAATTTGGTCTATTTTATTCACTGCTATATCCCTACCATCTGGGCCTCGAAAAGTTATTCAATGAATCAATGATTCATAAAATAATAAAATGACTAGTTTTCACTGGCCAGCAGAAAGAGACATTAGTTAGTCATAATAACAATGGGAATGCTATTTAACACAAGGTTTCTCACCCTTGGCACTCTTGGGGGTTAGATAATTCTACTCGAGGTTGTGTTGGGGGGCTGACCTGGGCATTGTAGGATATGGAGCAGCATTCCTGGCCTCTATCCATTAGGTGCCAATACTACCCCCACTCCACATTGTGACAACCAAAAATATCTCCAGACTTTGCTAAATGTTCCGTGGAGAACAAAATTGCTTCGAACTGAGAACCATGATCTAACAGGAGCAGATGACTTGCAGTGCACCAGGCCCTATTCTAAGCAGCTTACACACTTCATTGCATTCCCCCAGGGGTGGAGAGACTATTTTCAAAAGGGAATCTTGAGATAAGGGCTGGGGTACAGGGAGTTTATGTAGCAGGTAACCCCAGGGAGTTCCAGTGAAGGAGCAGAGGTGAGCCTGTGGGCCTCCGGGCCTTTAGGAGTCTGCAAATGGATGGCAGGCCTTAACCAAGTTTCAGTTTTCCAAAAAGTATAGCAAAATGTGTACACTTCCCTGCTGCTCAGAAACCTTTGACCAATGCAGAGGAGCATACAAATAGTAAGTATTGATATATTTCCTATTGGTAAAAGATGGCATTGAAAACATTTTCTATTGTGTGGTGGGGAGCAGAAGGGAAAAACCAGAAGATTAGAAATAGTGGCTGTGGAATGTCGTCATGCCACCCCTCTTGTTTGGAAATTGCAAATTATTGGTTTGTTCCCCCTGCTGTTTCAATTTCCACGCTGTGAGGTGATCCAGCATTTTTACCAATACCCATCTATGTACTTTCAAAGGCGCTAGACAGCACATGAACCTCTTTAATTTTGTCATATTTCTGACTCAGACTAAAGCAGAGGTCAAAAGCAAGTGTAATCTCAGACCAATTTCATTTGATCTCCAAAGTGCTTTAAAATTTTTTAATTACTAGTTGCCAAACATTTAAAAACCAGAAGATTTATTAGTTAGATTTACAGCTTAAAACAAAAATCAGCTCCAGAAACACTGGGAATGGCTGGCCGAAGCTGACCAACAGCTGACCTACTGAGGCAGAAACACTCTCTAGTTTGCCATCTCTGTTTGTCTGACCGAGCCTGATTTTCTCCTTTATATTATCTACCTGCCTCCGGGAGGTATTTGGGCTTTCAACCCCTGCTTTGGAATTTTGAAGACCTTCCAGTCTACTACGTGGGTCACTCTTCTGGTTAAAAATGTACCGGTTATAGAACAAGCTGTGCTGCTGTAACAAAAAGACCCATAAACTCAGGGGCCCAACCTATGAGGCCTTTACTTCTCCCTCAGTTCATAGGCCAGAGGTAGACAGATGGTTCATGGCAGCCAGGTGGCTCTGATCCACAGTCATCCAAGGACCCAGGTTCCCTCCATCTTGTTGCTCCACAAGATCAAAGTGGCTCCCAGCCTGTGGGAAGAGGGAGAGAGAGACAAAGGGGAGAAAACAGGCATTGATACAAGAGCAAGACCAGAAGTTACTAGTACATCATCACTTCTGCTCACATTCCATTGGCCAGAACTCAGTCACACGGCCACACCTAGTTGCAAGAGAGTCTGGGATATGTAGTCTCCAGCTTGGCCACACAGTGGCCAGCCAAAACTCAAAGTTCTGTTACTCAAAGGAAAGGGCAAGTGTATGCTGGAGAACCACCATTGTTTCTCCCCCAGAGGCGGGGGCATTTCTCAGCTGCCTGAGGAGGGCCTCAATTTAACCATGTATTACTTTGTTAGTTGTAGATTGGCTGGTCGAGCCGAAACCTCGATGGCTTGGTGGCAACGGCTGGCTCCTGGATGGCCCTGAGGAGGTGTTACAAGGTACCGACAGGATCAAGCCCAGACCTGACGTCATAGCCAGGATCCCCCTTCTCAAGCCACCAGAATACTGATAACAGAGGCTGCCGGCCCCCAAATACTCAGACCTCTTGGAGCCTCCCCCACCCCAACACAGAGGGGGCGGGTGGGGCTTGGCCAGGCTCTCACATCCCCAGGACAGTATAGAGTTTGACTCTCCCTGGGAATGGGGCCTCCTTCCTGGTGGAGAATGGAGAGGGAGGGTGCTTGGGGCTGGTTTACAGATCCCTAAAATCCCAATAAGGGGCTTGCTGCCTCCTGATGATGGGTGGAGAGCAGTTTCCAAAAAGAACCATGTGCAGGCCCAGGGCCTAGAGAACTGTAGGGTTCAAGGGTGTACCTTCACGTATGTCATGTGCGTGTGATTCTGCACACTTCTGTGTGTGTCACTGTGTCCATGAGAGTATACAGCTGTGAAAGAAACTGGGTGTGTATGTCTGAATATTTGTGCATCTGTGTTTATGTAAATGTGTGTAACTATAAGTGTGAATGTGTGTGTGCGCACAGGATTTGTGTGCATGTGAACATGCGTGTGGGTGGCTGTATGTGTAGTGTATATATGTGTGTTAGGACTTGTGGGGGTGGTGAAAATGTGTGTGTGATGTGTGAGTGTGTGTGTATGTTTCAGGATTTTTGTGTGTGAATATGTGTGTACACGTGTGACTATAAGCATGAGCATATGTGTTTCAGAGTGTGTGAGTGAACATGTGTTTGCACAGCACTATGCATCTGAGGGCGTGTTTGGGATCACGTGACTTTGAACTGCTCCCTGTGTGTGTATGTGTGCATATGTGTACACGTGCACACATGACACTGTGAGTGAGACCCAAGGCTCAGCCTGGAACCTGGGGGCACAGTCGAGAGGTGGCCCCTCTGGATAACGTGTTCACTGCGCTCACTGCCTCCTGGAGGGGCCGCCGCTGAGGCCCTGGCATGTGTCCTTCCCACAGCAGAGACCTGCAGCACCACAGAGGACGGGGCGGAGCCACTCCTCTGTCCCTCAGGCTACGAGTGCCACATCCTGAGCCCGGGGGACATGGCCAAGGACATCCCCAACCGCGGGCAGTGCATCAAGCAGGGCCCAGCAGGTGAGTGTGGGTGCCCCAGCCCCGCCCCCACCTCACCTTCCTATAACCCCCACATGTCGGAGCCTGGCTAAGGGCTCTTTCTGTCCTACCACCCTGATCCTCCTTTCAAATCTTCCATCCTTTCCCCCGCGCCAGCCCTGCCGCCTCCTGCCTGGGTGACCTTGGGGTCGAGTGCTTCAGTCTCTGAGCCTCGGGTTCCTTGTCTGTAAAATGGGGCCACTTCATGCTATTATGAGGGTTCATTTAAATCCTACATAAAAGCCTCAGTAAACGTCTGATATTTTATATCCATCCGTGTATCTATGTTTTGAATTATCTGAGAACCCTTAATTTCTGCTAGTATTATTCAATGTGGCTTAATGAGTCTGTCTTTGGGGAGGAAGGCAGTAAATAAAGCAGTGAGGAGTATGAATAGCATCACTTTAGTTTGCATAATTTTCCCAAGAGTGGAAGGACTGGATGGTGGTACCTAAAACCCACGTGTGCCTCACGCAAGACGTAAGGTCGAGAGGTTTGGTGTGGATTTGCAAGAAATGTGTGGCAAGCGAAGAATCTGGAACTTCAGGGAGATGTAGGGCAGCTTATCAAAGGTGAGCTCATTGGAGCTTCAAGTCCACATACTCCAGGCCCACGTCCCCACTTCTGCCCTCTGAGTCAAGATCAAGGATAATTACAGTGACCCTACTGGCCAAAAAAACACATCAGAGTGCATGGTCAGCCAGAGCTTTCCCCCCTGCCATTTGAGAAATTTATTTCTCTCAAGTGTTTCAAGAAAGACAATACACATTCAATCAATTGCACATTTAGCATCATTATAATTGCAAATAGAAAATTATGAGACATTAGAACTGTTTTGAGAATCCTGATCACTGGAATTCTGAGCTTTGAGACCAATTGAACCGATGAGGCATAATTGTGATTTCTCCAACATTCCACTTGCTCTTTGGGTTACTGGCAGGTTCTGCAGCCAGACAGCCTGGGATTCCAGTGGCCACCGGCCCCTCACTGCTGTGTGTCCCAAATAGTAGAACCTTCCCAGGCCCCATTTTCCCTATCTGTAAAGTGGGCTTTAAGAGTTAAGCGGCCATGCCTCTTGCTTCAAAGCACAGAACAGCATCTGTAGACGCCAAAATCAAACCTTAGGAAGATGAGGCATGCGGCCCACCAAACGCAAAACCCCGAGGGCAGGCCAGCCGGCAGGAACACGCTGGCGTACGAGAGAAGCAGCCTTTATCAAGAGGAGCTGCGGGGTGAGTCAGGAGTCCTTTGGACTGTAATGTCATTTTTCATAACTGGAAAGGACTGGAACGACTCCACCTCTATCATCCCCTGATCTTGCTCATTTAGTTATGTGAAAGCCACTTCACGGCCACAGATAAGCAGAGAGACCGATGAAGTGATGCCTGCTGTTGATGGAGTGCCTCAGAGACACTGCCTTTACGCTTTATCGCCAGCCTGCAGGAGGAGTATAACCAGAAGGCAGCGTCAGGTATGCTTAGAGTGCAGGCTCAGAGCCACTGAAATGGGTCTGAACCCTACAGCTTTCTTCCCTGGTGACCTTGGGCAGGAACCTAACATTTCCTAGCCTCAGTTTTTCCATCTGTAAAAGGAGCTAGTGATGGTCATGATGGTAATTGCTTCGTGGGGTAGTGACAGGCTAGAACGAGAGAGCACCTGAAAGGCCCTTAGAGCAGCGCCTGACACATAGTAGGTCTTCAAGGAATGTATGCCCGCTATCTCTCGTCTACGGAAACGGGAGGACAAGTCCA